TTCAGGACCAAAATGAAACTAACACAACAAATAACACTTGTCATTGCCTGAATGGCCAGCGTTTATGGGACTGAATGCAGAAAACGGTTACAGCTTAATGTACAGTACTGTACCAAAGACCAGCCTTTGATGTACTTAATTTCCAGTAAAAAGAGTGTGGCATGCGCCCGCCCCCTGGGCCCCGACGATGACGGCCGCGAGAGCCGGCTGGAGCAGCGAGCTCTCGTTCCCTCTCAGCTCTTTAAAAGGCGCTCTGAGCACCTGAGCCGAGAGGGAACGAGAGCTCGTTGCTCCGCCTCCTCGTCACCGCCCCCAGCTGGCAGCTCAGCCGCCCGGGTCGAAAGTGAGGTGTAATGGAGCGGCCTCGCTGCGTAACAGGGGGCGGGGCCCAGGCGGCGGAGCTTGGGACTCGCTCCTTGCCCTGGTGCCTCTCGTTGCCGGCACCGTCGTCGTCTTCCTCCTCCCGCCGTCACTCGGGTTAATCGGAGGAGCTCGGGCTTTGCGCTCCGCCCCCTCCCCACTCGCGGCTCTCTCCCTGCTGTCGCGGCCGAGGTTCGTCGCCGCTGGGTGTTCGGGTCCCGCCTTCCTGCCGGCTCTCGCGGCCGTCATCGTCGGGGCCCAGGGGGCGGGCGCATGCCACATAGAGCCTTTAATCTTTTTTTTTCCAGTGTCAGAAAAAAGCAGGGAACATGTCATTTTTGTCTGAACAAAACTTTGTGTCTCCAAAATGTTCGCTATACAGGAAAACATTCTTAACTTGTAAAGGAAACTGATGTACCTATTTTTTCAAGGTAATTTTGAACCAGTTCTGCTGGTCCATTTATCAAAAATTTCAACACAAAAAATTGTATTACCTTTTCAAAAACTACAAACTACCAAAACAGAAATATGAGGTTCTTGTGTGACAGCATCAAAGGCCTCCCAGCACAGTATCAAATTTATTAACATTTGATCTGCCCACTCTTTATCGAATAATAAGTTATAATTAATTACTGAAGAATACGCCTGTAGTTTGAGGGGTTGAAGGAACTACAGGCACATAACTGACACTGTTATCACGTTTCTTCAGCAGGAGCGGCATGTTCATTTTTGAGTGGCATGCCTTCTTCAGTTTTGCTCATCTTCTTGTATTTTATTATCCACATACTACTTTGACACTCCCTAAATCTCTCTCCAAAGCTAATCACCCTGCTCTCCAGCTCTGCGTGTGAGTGGAGGAGAGCAGACGAGTGAATGATTCACCGTGCTTGTGCGAGGTTTGCTATGAGCCCACTCAATAAATCCCTGACAGCTCTAATGCAGCTCATAAAGACCCCGACTCGAAATGTTTGGATATCCTCACAGCGCTGCTCAGATTCCAGCTGCAGCCTCGAATACAGGCACACGCACAAAGCAGCAATGAATGCAGAAAGAGCCGTCATGAGGGAGGTAGATGAAGAGAGACAACGATGACTCAGATTTATCTCGAGTCTACTGTGCCTACGTGTCACACCACAGAGGAAACAGCAGGACCGGATCTGCGAGACTGGAATGGCAGTAATGACCTGACCAATCACGAAATCCGGCACAGGAAATACACCAAAAACACAGAAAAGGCACCTGCACACGCTGACTCCACATTTTTGTGTTAGAAACTGACCCACAAGCAACACATCAGCCCCCTTAAAATGGACTAGCTAATTAACCCTTTAGGGCTGAAGCAAAAATGTGGCTATTTCTGTCATTTTATCTGTTCTTTCAGTACAGTGATTTCTCAGTGCTGTTGCTGTATTGATTGATATATAAAGAAAAAACTGTAGATTTGTATTTCTTGTCTCACCAACTACCACTTAGAACAAGCAAACACATGAACAGGAATACAAGAGTCACATTAGTCATGTTTTACTGTGGCTCTGATTAAACAGTCAGTAATAAGCTCTTACTGATCTGATCACAGCGGCTCAAGAAAGAATCACTGCTCTTCCAACAATAAAAGAAGCCTCATGCATCTTTTATCGGATGATAGAAACAGTACCACACGTTCTACACGCTGACAGGTTCCACTGCGGCCAACGTGTACATCCCCTTCCTAGGTCAGCAGATTTAAACAAGTTTTAGGGGCCATTGGCAAACTCTGAGAACAGACTGCCATATATAAGTAATATAAGTAAAAGGGCAGAACCAGTTCCTCTGTTATAAACCCTTCTTCAGGTATGAGTTTGGTCATCGCCGTTCTACTGCTATGCCTCACATAAGCGCAGATAACACAACGTATAAACAGTGCAAAACACACTTAGTAGTCCACTTTTGAGTCAGAAGAGATAAAGTAATGGCTGGTCTTTTGAAGATACCCTTAGCCTAACATGAACACCAGAACAAGCGCCTGGCTTTTCTCCTCACGTAGCATCTGAGAAGCTCCCTAACTCGGTCAGCTGCATCAGATGATGCTGTGGTCAAGGCCTTATATACCAAAACTACGTACAAAATACAAACCCACCACATTTTCACTTGCAAGTCACAACTGGTTAAAAACCGAAGTATCACAAAAGTGTTATGCTTTACCAACATTAGTTCAGCGCACGGTTCCTGGGTTTAAACCAGTGCTTAACAGCATGTTTAAAACAAAGATAAAAGAGCAGGCTACTGTACATGCCTTACAGAAATATGAATTTATACCACATTCACAACACTGTAAACCTGTTATTTCACATTAGTAGTGCAAAAGAAAAAAATATCAGTTCTCACTGAATGCAGTTACTTTTACTGCAGTGTTTTAAAGTAACTGGTAGCCAAATCATGAACGACATAAATCAAGCAGATATTAAACACATAATGAAACGGTAATTTTTAAAAAGCAGGCCAATCAAGCCAGAATGTCACAGTATTCATTTTAAATGAAAAAAGTCTTATTGATAAGCAACGTTGCATACCTTCACCCTAATTATCTGGCCATGTTAAAGTACTCCGATCAGGACATTCTAAAGAAAATCCTTTGTGTGAAATTTATAAAGATGATTTGTAGAAGGTGGAATTCCGCAATGAAAACTATTCTACTTAAACACCGATTATGATGTACCACTCATGCTAAATTGTGGCTGACTGTGCTAAAAATGAAAACATTATCCATTATATATATTATAAATTGATCCTCTATTTAAAAATGACCATTTGGTTGACCAAGAAACTCTTCAGCGAGGGGCAGCACTATAAAACGTACTGTATCATACCAACATATGGCACCACCACACTTCACTAGGCTCTGATAGGAATGAGTGCAGTCCAGCAGTGGGTCGACGTCACAAGGAAACGGGCCTCTCAGGACAGGTGCTGCTGCTCCTGATGGATAAGGGCTACTACAGCTCGATGACAGCCACTGAATTCTGAGCAGTACCTGGGCTAATTGGCTCCTGTGACACTTGCCTTTCAGCCGTCATGCTGGAGGCACATTTCAGTGGGAGTTTTCGAGGTTTTAGCTGCTTTCCATCTGTCTCTCTCTCTTTAGCCATGCGATTCTTTCACGGAGGGCGGACATGAATGTCTGCCAGGATGCCTTGCAATGGCTTGTGGCACTCGGGGATGCCTCAGTTGGGTGCACAGGTCTCTGCAGGCCAAGTGAAGATGCGGTCAACTGTGCGATATGATAAGCAAATGGAGATTTCGGCGTGCCATGTGGTGAGGACAGGGTGGGATATCACTGGTAGTCAGTGATATTTGGACATCACTGCCTACGTGTGATTTGATTCTTATCAACAGGTCTAGGGTTGACAGTGGAGATGGAAAAAATGATGAATACTAGTGTATCATAAATCCACTGAGACTAAGCTTTAAACATACACGTATTTGTGTTTGTGTAGTACTTAATAATTTGTTAATATTTAGTAATAACTTGGAAGTGATGAACTGTAATAACTGAATGTGCAGTAAAAACCTGAACGAATGTCGGCACAAAACCTTGTTATAGATAATATGTAATTCTTACTCATACACAAATATTATAAACAGGGATGTAACAACCACATCTAATTGCTCAGTGTTTCACATCGTATCGCTGTACTGTGTGACTAGCATGTTAGCTTGTGGCTAATACAATAGTTTGGGACTAAAATAGTATCTTGCGGCTACAACATTAGACCAGAAAACCATAAAGTACAACTTTTGTTTTAGATATTGTACCTTAATAATGTTGAATGTTCTAATAAACCAAAAATATAATGTATCGGATTTGAGACGCCATTGTGAATAGAACTTTGAATTTTGTGAACATGTACATCCTAAACAGCAAACTGGGTCATAACTTAAGAAACTAAATTCATTATGACCTAAAAATCTTGTGTCTATAGTTAAATTGTCTGTGCCAAAGTACTGACCGGCGTGACTTTTTCCAACTTAATGTGAAACAACAAATAAAGAATACTTCGGAAAAATATAATATCGTGATGCTTCAAGAAATTTCCACGATACACAATATGCCATGATATTCATTTCAATTAGTTGAAACAGACAAAAACAGACCAGCAGTGCCAAATTTAAAAAATACTATTGAAAACTATAAATACAGTGACCTGTACTCAACATTTTCCTGCCCTAAAACTGAACTAATTAGGTTGTCTTTGTAATAAAACATGCAGTTAGTCAATGTTTTCTGCTCAGAAAAAGATATTGTGACATAATTTATCACGATAACTTTAAATACCATTATATTGCTCAGCCCTACTGGAAAGTAATTTCAGTAACTACATGCTGTCATCTTGAACGGGTAACTGATCACCCTTTTACACCACTAGTCATGTCTAAGTGTTATGTAAGGCGGCCTCTGTCCACCAAAATTATGACCTGCATTATCCCCCACTGCCCAGCTCACACAGCGCTGCTCTGTCAAATTTGACTGATAAAGCAGTGAATTAACCGCAACATGTGAGTTAAAGTTGCTCATTTTAGACAAGTGAATCTAAGTTGACCTCATGGTCAGCACCTCTCGCTTTGCAGCGGTCGTGATGCGGTCAATGTTCTCCTGCTCTCACCTTGTTCCTCTCAAACAGCTCACTCTGGATAGTCTTGAGGTCAGTGTCCAGGGCGCTGGCCGCCTGCCTGCGCTTGCGCGCCAGCTGCTCCTCCAGGTCCTCCATCTGGGCGCGCAGCTTCTTGTTGTCGCGCTCCAGCGCCAGCTTCTCCGTCTCCAGCCGCTCCCGTCGGCCCCACTCCGCTGCGTTCTCCACCTGCAGACGTTCCATCTGCGCACACACACACACACAGAGGCACAAACTTACACACTCCACGCTTGGAGCTGCGTTAGGAGGGAGTACAGGTAATAACACAGTGTCAAATACAAACAGTCAGATAACCTGTTCTGAACTCCTGAAGTAAAAGTCATTTATCCAAATCAATGATTCAGCTGCTCTACACAGCAAAAACACAGACACAAAAAAAATCAACACTTCATGTCATCTGATAAACAATCTTACTTACTCTGCATACTTCCAGACACGCTTCACCTATTTCAAACCATCTGATGAAGTAGAACCCCCCCCCCCACCCCTCAGCAGGTAACTGAGATTCCTTCAAGATTTTTTTTCATCGCGCTTTTTTCTTATTATTCTGTGAGACGTTTTTATGCTGTACGTGAACAGAGAGATACGGCAATATCACTTCAACGCACTACTTGAAAGAGTCATTACAGAATAATCAAGAGCTACATAAAGGCTCTCCAATACGTTGCGTCTTGACACTGAGAGCAGCCTTATGGGAATGCGTGCCTTTGGCACACAGTCTACGAGCACAGCGGCGTCGGCTCCATCTTATCTCCCTTTTCTGTACACTGACCAAGCATTAAACATTCATATGCTGTTATACAAGCTGTAATTCCGTACAGCGGTAAACAGTACAGGAACGACTCGAGAAGACAGGAGATGCCGTAGTTTGCTGGTCAGTGCTGGGGGTTTGGGGACATGGGACGAGAAAGATGCTGAGCTAGTGGAGCAGAGGGGCTCTTTAAAGATCAATCCTTTATATTTTCCTGTGAAGCTCACCTGACCAACCCCAGACTGCGGATAGTGAAGATGCACTTGCAGGTCCTCACAGTCAGAGGACTGAGCTGAACTGATAAAAGGGGAGAGAAAAACACTGCAGAGAAGAGAACAACTGGAAAAACAGTGGACAGAGAATGAAAAGCCCTTTGGGGGCATTTGGGCTTCATCTACATCTGAGTCGGATCAGAGTGCATCCTGAGGTAGCAGTGCTTATGTTTATGGGCTATGAAATGTGCGTATATGTGTACGTTCAGACATACACACTTGTGAGGTATGAAAAAGTGACGAGGTCAAGTAAAAAACAAACATTAACCAAAGTGTAGCCCAAAGCTGATAAATGGAGCCAGTTTTTATCATTTTGGTCATCGGAATCTGAGTTTTAACTTGCCCGGTCTCAACATCCCGCCGGCCGTTAAGGGGGGGAATGTGACGGTATTTTATCTCTATCGTAATAAATTTTGTTATTGTGGTAAACAGTACACTTTTCTGAGCATATCATGGACATCATGGACACTGACCAGCTACAGGTTTCATTAACTGGAGAATCAGTCCTGTTTTAGTGCAGTGCAGAATGTAAAATGTTGAATTAAAATCATTGTACATGAACTTTCAGTACATTGTGTTCATAATACAGTGTTCTGTGGAAATGTCTAAGTATACTGATATGATACTGATATGTCATATCGCTCACCCCCAACCCACAGTGTTACCGGACGGGTCGAGGGCTGGACCATGTGTTGAGTAAAACCATTGTGTCTGTGTGTTTTTGAGAGACATGGGTAACAAGCTGCATGAGTTTTTTTTTTTTTAAAGGCTTTAGTATAATAATGTGTTCCATTACTGTTCACTTTGTGTAGGAATTGTGTTTCTGTGAATGTTTACACTATACATTTCAAATTATAGCAAATGAATACCGGCCCTATATGTTGTATATTACCGGCCTTTTCGTTTACAAACAATTGCACTGATATCGGCCCTGAAAAACACTTTCGGTCGACCCAGAGACTTTACTGGCTCCATACTGGTACATCACACTTGGACCCTGGTGATTGAAGTTGGTGGCTTTATTAGCCGACAGTCCTTCAGCAGTTCATAGATGGTCAGGTAAATCCACAGGAATCAACATGTTGTATGAACAACGGCATCATTTCAGATGAAAACTAAGCTTTTTGGTTTTAAACAATGCTAGTTTACACATATTAACCCTGTTGTAGCATCTGAGAAAAAACAGGGTAAATAGGAACCTGCTTTAAATCGTGAACTGCTGCTGTAAAGGGGGGTGGGGGGTGAGGGGGGGTCCTGGCAGTAGGGTCCCCCCTCGCCTTTCCAAAATTGAAAGCTCTTCAAATCTTTTCACAAATCACACCAAATGCATGTTTTCATTCGAAATGGCAAATTTTGCTGCAAGATTCTGACTCTGAATGTAAGAAAGTTTCCCAGTATTCAACCTGTGGAGCTGCCCAAGGAACTCGGCTGGCCCCATTGTTTTTCTAGCACTAATAAATTGTGCCCTTTTGAATAAAGCAAATCACTGAAAATGTCAACCATATGAGGCGCAGACATGAACGTCTTGGGCTCCTCCTGCTCTCCCAGCAGACGCTGAGCTAGAAATGTGGGTCAATGACCACAAAATGAACCTAAACCTAAAGAGTGTAGGGTCCTATATGTAACAGGTTTAAAGCGTTTCTGCACTGCCAGCTTTTAAAATAACTACACATTACAAATTTCAGTTATTCTACTATCTAGATTTCGTTCTCATTCAGTGTCTGCAATTTGCCAAAACTGTAAAAGTCAGACTTTAGAGACTTTCTAACCTCTCAGAAAGGAGGTTACAGGCCGACAAACAAGGGACTCAACAAGTCAGTCATTCATAGATGCTGGACTGAGAGAACCCAGTGAGAGAACCAAGAGATCACGAAATGAAACTGTGTGTACTTATTTCAGATTTATACAGTATTGAGAAAATGTTTGACAACTGTTCTTTTAACTATATTCAATGTTTCCTTGTAACAGCAAAATAATTGTTTTTAACAACATGGCATTTTTAAAAACCTGCAATGATGCTGAGTCATTAATAAACAAATACATAAATGTCTGCATGTATGTGTCAGATTTTCACCTCTGCTCGAAGCTCAGCCAGTTTCTTGTCCATGCTCGTGCGAGCTCCAAGTTCATCCTCCAAATCTTCAGACATGCGGCCAAGCTCATCTTGATGCACCTCCTTCAGCAGGTTCAGCTGAGAGAAAACGAGAGAGAGAGCAGGAGAGAGAAGCAGAGAGACAGAGAGAGAGAGAGAGAGAGATGGAAAGAGTCAAAGAGAAGTGTTAGTCTTGCAGTCACACATCCATATAATTCCCTCACAATTCTTTCGTCTCTGTACCGACTATTCAGAAGCTCAGCTGCCCTTTGTTTCCATCTTTCTGTGACAGTCGGTCTTCAGTTGTTTTCATTTCTCACCCCTGAATGATCTCTACGATCCTCAAACAGAGCTCAGGACAAACCCCCACGACAGCGACGTCTCAACAGACCTTCAGAGTTTCATCTGGCAGCTCGTGGCCCTTCAACACATCTCACAGCTTGAGCATCTGAGCAACAACAATTTCCACCATGTTTCCCTGTAAGAGTGATTTCCACATAGCGGCCCACACCTTAGTAGACGGCGGCCGAGCCTCAGCAATTAACATGCTCGGCAGGCCGTGCGCTCACACAGCTGGGCTGAGCTGTGGCAGCTTGCGTGTTACAGCTTCGTGCTCATCTCGGCTGCTGTGCCACAGTTAGATTAACACCACTTTCACACACTGCTCCTCCGTATTCCCACCACCTGCTAGCATTTCCCTAATGACCGCTGTTCTCTTCACTGAAAAGCCCCAAAGAAGAACAGTCAAAACAGGCAACCCAGAAACTGAAGTTCCTGTTGATTAAAGGTGGCTGTAGCTGTGATTACTACACGATTAATGACACACGCAGCTCACGATCCGATCACTCGAGGCACTACAGTCTCGATTCAATACACTCATGATATTCTGAATAAAAGTTGAATGAAGACAAATACTAACTGTATTAGTGTTGTACTGATCTAAAATACTAGCTGGGCACTGGGCTAATATCAGCATCAATAACTGGCCTGAATATTTTGGAGAGGTGAAAAAGTGAATTCGATCTATTGCTCTAAAAATTAGCCTGAAACATTTTGAAATGGTACACGCTCACATCACAGCATCTCGTGTTGTTGTCCATGTATTTCTTACTGTGGGGCAGTAGATTGTTTGAGTAGACTGTGCATGATAGCCTACTTTTACATGATCGTCTCAAATGACGTAGATCAATACAAAGCAATTCATTTAAAGCCTGATAGTTTTCAAAGAAAAACAAGTCAAGAAAATTGTCACATTCTCAAGTTTTTGTTATTGGTATCAAAACAGAGGTTTTGGGTCATCTCTAATACTAATATTATTAAATGGGTCAGACACTGGTCAGGTGCAAAATGATCCACAGACGGTACTGGTTCTTAGTCAAGGTCATTATAAAATTAGGGTACAATTTTATTAACCTTGTAGAACTTTATTAAATTCAGAGCTACCAATGTCAGCGCATTACCGTCTCTACTATGATACATTAGTCTCTACTGTAAATTTATGTTTATGTTCTTTGCCTTAATAGACCACTGACGCCGACGTAGCGCTCTGCTTTGGCCGATACTCTGAGTTCTGATATTGAATTGGCACTGTGAGAGAAAGGTGGGATCAGTGCATGGACTGTATCCATTTTATTGCACAACCTACTAACTAAATCTGTGGAAGTGTGATGAATGACCATGAGTACTGAGGTGGATGGCAGGTATTAGTGTGGCTAAAGTTTACTGTCAACTTTTCAGTAATGTTTAAATAAAGCAGTCCCGTTAGATGGTCAATTCACAGAATGCCGCTGATATTGTTCATCTATAACGTGACGGTCACATTTTTGCATTGTATTGTCTTGTGTTGCGATGCCCTGCTACACCTCCACAGATCACTAGTCTTGCCTGTCGTCAGAGATTCTGGTGGATTTTGTCGCTTAACGTGACATAACACTGCCTACACTGACAGGCCTTACGACTGACACGCAAACTAACCCTCCACTGACCACTGTTTTAGTTGACATGTAGGGGTCATTGATTTTTAAAACAGGGCTGCAACCAAAACAAAGCCGCAGGAAACAAATGCACCAACAAACTTGTAAGGATGTCTCACTTGAAAATGTCTTCTGAAAAACTTTTAATGCTGCAAACCTCAAACTTTGTTTCAATCCAGAGTGCAGAGTGGACAACTACTTGCATTTGCTTGTTTTCCATCTAAACAATAAAACCCACTGTACAAAAGTGCACACGCACATGCAGATAGCCAATCAGAGTGCAACTGAATGACCACACTGAGTCTTGTTTTTGACGTCTCCATATTACTTAGGCTTTTTTAGCTTGTCGTACTTGGTGCTCTGGTCTGGCTTGCATCTCTACCTTAAACACCGATCAGGCATAACATTCTGACCACCTCCTTGTTTCTACACTCATTGTCCATTTTATCAGCTCCACTTACTATATAGGTGCACTTTGTAGTTCTACAGTTACAGAATGTAGTCCATCTGTTTCTCTGATACTTTGTTAGCCCCCTTTTACCCTGTTCTTCAGTGGTCAGGACCCCCATGGACCCTCAGAGCAGGTACTATTTGGGTGGTGGATCATTCTCAGCACTGCAGTAACACTGATGTGGTGGTGGTGTGTTAGTGTTTGTTGTGCTGGTCTGAGTGGATCAGACGCAGCAGTGCTTCTGGAATTTTTTAACACTGTGTCCACTCACTGTCCACTCTATTAGACACTCCTACCTTGTCAGTCCACCTTGTAGATGTAAAGTCAGAGACGATAGCTCATCTGCTGCTGCACAGTTTGTGTTGGTCATCCTCTAGTCCTTCATCAGTGGTCACAGGACGCTGCTCACAGGACGCTGTTGGCTGGATATTTTTGGTTGGTGGACTATTCTCAGTCCAGCAGCGACACTGAGGTGTTTAAAAACTCCAGCAGCACTGCTGTGTCTGATCCACTCGCACCAGCGCAACACACACTAACACACCACCACCACATCAGTGCTGAGAATGATCCACCACCCAAATATGCTCTGTGAGGGTCCATGGGGGTCCTGACCACTGAAGAACAGGGTAAAAGGGGGCTAACAAAGTATCAGAGAAACAGATGGACTACAGTCTGTAACTGTAGAACTACAAAGTGCACCTATATAGTAAGTGGAGCTGATAAAATGGACAATGAGCGTAGAAACAAGGAGGTGGTCAGAATGTGATGCCTGATTGGTGTATATGCTGCTCCTTCTTTTACAACATCCTTTCTTTCTGAAAGAAAATAGCTGCCAGTCCATTCACATAAAGTCTTCCCAGTGTGCACTGAAATTGGCCAAGAGTGCCCCCTGGTGGTCAATGACCAAATCTATTCAAAATGCTGACAGCCACATAGCTTGCTTAGCTCTCCGTTAGATGCCAAAGTCCCTCTTCGTGTGTATGTGTTTGAAGTAACCACAGCAGGTATGGCTGTGTGGGCACACTGTACAGCAGACCTTAATCAGGCAGGAACATGAAGGGGGAAAAGGGCTTTGATGTAAGGCTTTGAAGGCCACTGGGACAGTATGGACACGACCCTCTCAGACAAACCAAGTATTAGCCTGTTGATTAAAAGCTGATTAGTGTCAAACTGGAGATTAAAGACAGAGTAAAGCTAAAAGCTGTGATAAAAAGGCCTTTTAACATAATAATGAGACAAACCGAAAAGTTCCTCATGAAATGAGCGTCTTTAAACCGAGTCTTCTTTTTGCTGATTTTGGGGTCAAGACAAGTCCAGTCAATTGCCTCATTTCGGAGATATTTTTTCCAGGTAATCCTGAACTCTTAGCAAACTGAAATATTCTTTGAGAATAGCCTCATCTATCATCTGTAACCTCTTACCTGTTTAAGAGCCTCTTGTTTGCTCTTGTTCAGCTCCTCATATTTCAGTTTCCACTGGCTCAGCTCAGCCTCCAGTTTCTCAATGCTTTTGCTGAGTGCATGTTTATCCCTGAAAAAACAAACAAACAAACTGCATTACACGTACAGTATACGACAGTACAGCTACACAGTTCCATACAGTTCAGAAAACGGGTCACTATTATCTGGATTTTTGCATGAATAACTATTTTTTAATCTTATTTAAAGGAAAAACGTCACTGGCAGAAAATGTAGGTGAATCCCACAAATAACAGCTCTTTTGAAAAAAAAAAGTGATTGGAGTTGAATATTTCAGTCAAGGACAACTTCAGTTACTTGTTCTTTCCTTTTCACAGAACAATTCTTCTCAAGTACAATAGAACATGTCCCAATCGAAAAGCTTTCATGGCCTCTTGAAAACTAAAGAAGTTACAAAATATTATCTACAGACTAAAGGCTGGTTCTCCATCAGACCACAGTTAGTCAGATTCACAAACACAAAGAAACTGAGCACAGCTGCTAATCTCCCAGGAGTGGATGTCCTGTGAAGATCAGCGCCAGTGCACAGAGCTCAGGGACGAGCCCGGTAAACGAAGTACGCCGCGGCAGAGAACCGAGCCGCACAGCCCACGTTCGAAAGCACATATTTGTGTCAGAGCAGCTCAGACAGCGTTCAGACGGTGGAACGTATTTCACAAAAAAACAGAGAACCGCAAGGAACCTGCCTAAGATAACTTTCGCAAAGCAAAGACGGGACATCACATCACACATCCGTAACCAGATGCCCTCACTACGCTTCATTATGGAGGATAAAGAGTTAAATTTTAAGTTTAGTTGAATTATTGGTGCATTTAGGAACACAGCGATGATTTCAGGCAGTGTTGGCGATTGTTTACAGAGCCGCCAGAAGACGCTTAATGCTACCATGTACTCTCCTGCACTAACAACCACGGAAGTGGGGGAACAGTCTACTGTTGGAAATCATGATGACGACGTGAGAACCAATAAATCATTACAATAATAGTGTGCCTCTGACTGGATGTGCTGCAAGTGTAAACAGCTCTTGTGCGAAGCAATGCCCTTATGAAGCATCAAAAGATATATGACTGCTAATGGCGCCCCCTTCTGGAGAATCTGTAGCTTGCGCAACATGAGTACATTCCATGACATGCTTCAAATCTAAAACCAGTCAAGATTCCATCTTCTTCTACAAAAACAAATAAACATATATTTAACGCCATAAAAGCTTCTTATGATGGTGACGTACATTTGTTGTGACAATAGCCATTACAGCTTTTATCATACAGTCTATGAATTTTACACACGAGTTAACACATTTTAAGTATATTTTACAGGCTAGTCGTTTAGGACAGTGTGGTTTTGGGCTGTGCATGAGTGTGTTTTGTAACTGGCTGTTCAGTTGAATGGTTAAACTACTCGCTCCACCAATCTAATCACCTCACTTTTGTGCTGCGTCTGAGATAATCTGATCTCTTCCGTCATTGCAATCCTGAACAATGTGTTTATCACAAAACTTCTAAAGATAACAATAAAAATATGGTTTATTGTGCAGCCGAACTCCACAAAGTTCATAAAATTAACATCTGTGGAATTATAGTGTTGCATGACATTAAACGGTCAATGCTTTTTAATATTATATCTTGGCAAGCAATTCAATTCTTTACATTTTAATGTCTCCAAATTGACAACATCATGTTCAAACTGCATTTTTCTTGTAGATTAATCAAACTGTGCCCACTAATCTGCCTAATACAAACATTTTTTCATTTTCATTAGTTAGATTTATTTATTTTTATCAGTTTAATTTCAGTTTGTCATCAATAGCTACATTAATGACTAACTGAAGGGGGGATTAACAGCTCTAGTTTTGTTTTTATGTTCTGAAATATATAGTTTTAGCTTAGACTGAGCTCATCTCGAGTACATCTTACCTTAAAGACAGCCAAACACAACAGAGCTTTAGGTTCCTTTATTAACTTCATATCCGAAGAGTTTTATATTGATAAAGAGATTAAATTTGAATTTGAAAATGAGAGATGTTAAGCTGTTTGTTCAACACAATAATAAACACCACGAGTTCTGACAATAACAAATGTGTTTAATTTTCAGCCGCAGGATCGTTTTGGTATCGAGGACCGACACGATGTTAAGTATCTGCAACGTAAAAAAAATAATCGTATGGTGATCAATAACCTGATCAATCTAAAACATGACGGAGAAGTGGAGAGAGATGTCTTACTCGCGTTCCTTCAGCAGAACTTTCTGGGATTCGTCCAGGCGTAGCTGGAGGGCGTTGAGTTTGGTGGAGTCCTCCTCCAGGCTACTCAGGTCGTCCCACAGCAGCCTGTTCCGGTCCTGCCGGCTGAGAGCCGTGCGCAGACTGCTGGCACTGCGCGCATCCCACGAGTCCGGAGACTCCGCCTTGGCCCTCAGCAGAGCTTCCAACAGCTGCAGCTCCTGAGAGGCAGCCGAGACAAAAATAGTGCAAGAAAGGATGAGACGTGCACAAAGAAAGTACAGTGGGGCATTTAATTACAGCGCAAAGAAAGAAAACATCAGAGGGAGGAATTACTGAACGGTCTTTATAAAACTGAAAGACACTGCAGCAACAGACTCCACGTCCAAGACTTACGTCATCATAATAATGTTTCCCAAGGAAGGAAACCCGAGGCGTCAGACAAAGAGCTCCAGATTTACTCTCCCCTGGCAGAAAAGGCTTTTTTCTGTAACATCCATATAACATATATCATATTATGCCTCGTCCTCATTTCCTGTAGGAATGAAAGAAGTTTACAGGCACTTTGGTGCCGTAATCAAAAGCTGCTTTTTCAATTCTAATCTCCATCTCTCTTCTCTCTCTTTTCCCCACAGCGGAGATTGTATATCAAAAGGACGGCCTCAGGAGAAACACGGAAAACACAGAACACACTGCCAACTTCCTGCAGTCTCGGGAGCCCTCACAGCGATTTGAACGACGAGTGTGACACACGCTCTGAGCCACCAGAGGGCAACAGAGGAGTATATATGTGATCAGCAACGCCGAGCTGCACATGTGGAAGTATTCAGCATGTTTGTGTGTGAAGCTCGACATGGAGAGGCAGGAAATAGGATAGCATGAAACAAGCTTGTGAGCCCGTCCGGCCCGGCAGCGCCTGTTTATTCAACAGAGACTGATTAGCACTAAGTATTCATCCCCAGAAGCGCTGCAGCTAATTTTTTGTTGCATGAACGGCAGAAGCTGTTGTTGCTAAGGCCAAAAAGGTACCGCCTACTGACTGGCACACAGGCGAACATCCATTTTGCGTGAGCTCCTTAAGGTCAAGTTTGACACTGATGCTCATTCGAATTCTCCACTGCTCACCTCCAGCAGAGCGCTGGAGAGCGGAGTTCTGTTCTGATGGTTTCGGTTTATACCTGCCATCAAAAAAACAAACAAAACAAAACAAAAAAACCACAGAAGAAAGCAGACGCGTTCTGCAGACCGCAGACTGAAACTCATCATGTGTGAGCAACGGTTTTCCTGAAAGAGTAATTAAAAGCACATTAAGAAAAAGCGGGGTGTGCTTAGACAAGGCAAATCCGTGGCTAGGAATGTGAGGGAGAGGCTGCTGGAGTAGTGGGATTTGGCTTTCATGCTGCAGCCCCCTGGCTGCTTCCCCAGGGCTGAAACAGAGGGGGGGAGATGGGGTTCCAAGAATAGGACAAAAGAAAAGAAAGCAGCCCACCAGAACATGCAGAAACCCAGGTAATGGGAAACCAGTGAAGCACAGCACAGCACACAAATCAGATCTGCTGCTGACCCATTTATCGCTCTACCTTCCTGCCTCTCTTTGTCCAGAATGTCTTCACCCTTTTATACGCCTGGTCTGATCAGCTCTGAGATGCCTGGACTGAACCCCAAACCTGATCCCAAACCCAATTTTTCAAAGGTTTTCAGTCTTTATTGGTCTAATCAGGGCTCAGGTTTCTCATTGGTAGCGGTCTGATGACTGCAAAACAGATTTTCATTTCTGCTGTCCAACATATCAAACCGAAACTAAGGTTCCACGATGAAGCACCAACATTGCTTTTAAGTGCTTATTTTAACAGGAAAAACGTTTTTGATATTTTAACAATTCAGGTTGAATCAGGAAAACAACCAACCAACATCATGATTATAATATAAAAACAAGCACAACGCTCATACAAACCCGCGGACTTAGGATAACAAACGCTGTATGTCCAAAGGTTTGTGGACACCCCTTGTTATAAGCTAACAATCGACACAAATACACAGCCCGTATAAACTCCATATCTCATCACGCCTATTGCCAAGCCTGGGCTAGAGGGGTATAAAGCCCCCAGGACTGGGCTGTGGAGCAGTGGAACTGAGTTCTCTGGAGTGACAGAGCTCCATCAAATACCTCTGGATGAGTTACAAAGAAGTAATCATCCAACTTTCACCTGACCTCACGAATGCTCTTGTGGCTAAACTCAATCAAATCTTCACGGCAATGTTCCAACATCTAGTGTAAAGCTTTCCCAGAAGAGTAGAGGCTGTCGCTGCAGCAAAGGGGGACAAAACTCTTTTTCAATACTCTTGATTTTGAGAGAAACACTGGATGAGCAGATGTCCAACAAACTTTGGACCATACAATGCATCATAAATCTTATCCAAAAAGAACTCAGAACCTCTGCTTCTTGGGTTATGTTGGACTCACCTTTTGCCTTTCTGGTTTCTCATTTCCCACATCCCTGACAGGTTCTGGCTCTGGGGAGCCTGGACCTTCTCCCACCCTCTCATCCTCCTGGCTATGCTGTTTACTGTCCGAGCCAGCTGGCTGGTTCGAGGGGGAAGAGGCTGTGGAGGAGTTGGATGGTGGTGCAGAGACAGGGGCGTTGGATGGGGAGCTCTGGTCAGCCCGGAGCCTTTGGGCCTCGAGACGAAGCTGCTCATTTTCAGCCACCAGTTCCTGCCGTTCGCGGCGCACCCCAGTCAGTTCCTTCGTAAGGGCATCTAGACGCTGCCGCAGCTGCCTGACCTCGTCCCGTGCCCGGTTCCTCTCAGCACGGACTTTACTCCACTTCTCCCTCCAGTTGGCCGTACAGTCCGACCACCAGCGCATGGTCTTCTCCATCTGAGCGGCCCGCGCCCGAGCCTCCTCCAGCTCGCGCAGACGAAGTTCCTCACGACTCTCCCAGTCACCACCGGCGCCCTCGCAGCCCAGCCCTGGAGACAGCAGCAAAGGGGGGCTGGAGCTGGGTGTGCCACCCGTGGGGCTAGGTGTGTGGGTCAGGCTGTCCGGGGAGCGTACCCGGTCCGGCCCCAGACCCAGACCACAGAGCAGGCCCGCCCCAGACTTGGCGGCTTCGGCCATGTGGGGGCTGGGCGTGTGATTCATGACTGAGCCGATGATTAGTCCAGGCAGAGAAGAACTAACAGGCTAGCGGGTCCAATCGGGAAGGCAACATGATTCCCTGCAGGAAAATAAGAAACACTGTTTAGAATGATGTGCAGGCGCTCATTTTAGAACTACATGGGAAATGAGCAAATCACAAACAGAAAAGATGCTCTGCACTGTTGGTGTCATTTCACAGTGACACTTCTCATGAAATAAGATGGAGGTTTTGACTGCAGGGCCTAATCATTACTGCCTCACACCACACAGGTCCTCATCTACCATGCTCTCATATCTAAGGCCACTTTCACACGAACTCTCTGTGTAGCGTCAGAGACGCGAATGTCTTGCAAGGCAACTCGTCCCAGATGCAACACTGAAGCGGCACAGTATTTAGAGTAGGCTAGAAGCCTTTTGTTCTCGTGTGCCGGAAGAATCGCGCAGCAAAACACAGTGAAATAGTCAACCAAAACCAATGAAACTTAACTTAAATGTGAATAAATATTTAATAAAATATCAAATTTGTAGCCATTATTAAATGAAATATTAGCTAAGAATTTCATGCTGAATATACATTTTCTGGGAGGTCTGCCAGGCTGAGAACGGCTGCCCAATCACAAGTCAAAGTTGAGGGTGAATAAATGCATCATGCTCTTTCAGAAATTATATTTTATAGTAAAGCAATTGATTGTTTTATCTGTATATTTGCAAAAAGAGTGTCTGTAGAACTTGCATGCTGTATCCGTCTGCAGCACCAACGCTGTGTGCATGAATGGCCGACCTGTGGAATTTACCAGCCGCATCACTCACAGCACACAGAGGCAGCGTGTGTGAAAGCGAGCGAACCCTCTGTAGGCTTATATAACACAGCCGGTGGTCCACTACACCCATTTCCAACCGTCCTTTAAAGACTTTTAACATTAGAGTCCGGCCCACACCAAACGATGTGAGGAGACAGGTCATCTTCCAAAGACAACTCGCCGAATGATCTCTAGATAACATGCTTACTGACCACAGTGTAGGCTAATGCTTCAGCTCCACGAACGTTAAGAAAAGAAAAAACACTGAAATGTTTGAGCTTTTTTAAGGGTTTGAAATTACACTAATGTGGATAACAGCTCACTTTGTCGGCTGGATCAACAGTTCAAAACAATTTCCTTGCAATTTAAGTTTCTAAGAAGCAGCAAATTTAACCTTAAATACGTGGCATAGTGCTGCAACACGGGACTACAGAGTCACAGAAAACTAGATGCTGGGTTCACTTTGGTAGAACTTTAATTACTGATTATCAGTTTACCTAAGAGTGTGTACGACAACACGACATTCACAGCTCTTGGTGAAGGGTTTATCACACTGTTATTCAGGTTTGGGTTCCTCTTTTGAGTTTTTTATAACTCGCAGCAATTCTTCAGTTTTCCTGTCACTGCAAGGCCAGGCTTGTTCATTGGGTTTCCAGATTTCTGTAAAGCTGCTTTGTGTCTGTGTCTTTGGTGAAATGCTCTACATAAATAAAACTGAATTACTGTGCTATGAAGAAAACCACAAAATCTCATATTAGTCTTGCATAACACTGACCCAAAAAACCCGACTGTGCTATGCAGGTCTTTGCCCTGCGGGGCCGTCGCTGGTGAGTGATTTTCTGTTCTCATATAGGTTCTTTTCGCTTGTTATACATGGTAAGAAGTATCTTTATTACCGGACATATCTACTCTGATGCCGTGACAGGGAAGTGTTGAACAATCCAGACAGCACCCTGACAACTCGGTGGTCTCCCCCTCCTCCACACCGCTGCACACAGCTTGCATAGATCAACCACAGAGAAGACAGAGCAGGAAGACAGAAAGAGGCTCGGCCGAGGAAACACTGCATGAGTTCTGTATAGATTCACAAACAAAACTGTCCCACACAGCGATTTGGGAAATCTACTGAATCAGTACGGTACCCGCACCAAACGGTGCCATGAGGCAGATTATCTTCCAAATGAAAGCTTGAGGTCAGAAAGATTTAACACGCTTGTCCACTACAGGGCAGCTAACGCATCCGCTCCGCAAGCGCTAAGAAAAGAGGCGATGCTGAAATGTTCCAGCTTTTTTAAGCGTTCTAAAGTAAACCCATGGTAAATGTGTATAGCAGCTCACTTTGCAGGTCAATAGATCCAATAGTTTAATACAATTTCCCAGCCTATTAAGTTTCTAAGAAGCACGCAGCAGATTTAACCTCAATCAGTTGGCGGAAAACTGCACAATCACAGAAAATTAGATCCTGGGTTCACTTTGGAGGAATTCGAATTGCTGATTAGCTGGATTCATGTGTTCGTGACGATACGACACATTCACAGAAAGCTAGTGTGAAGGATTTGGGAGGTTCTGTTAAGAGAGGCTCTAAAAAGTAACCCACAGGGTAATTGGGCAGGTAATGTGTCTGAACCACCCAAAAATGTGCCTTGGAGCGAGGCCAGAGACAGGTACTCAAACTGTAGACGTGTGCTGGCAGTCAGTTTGGAAATACCCCTCAAAATACATTATTCTTTTAATACACAAAGAAAATGGACTCATTTTCTGACTCACATTTCAACGAAATGGTGATACTAAGTAAATGTAAGAAAAGAGAGGCAGAAACTCCTGGATCTGATCCAGCGGTACCGGTTTTATTCATACAGAGCGGCATATGAACATCCCAGGGCTCCCCTCCCCCAGCACCCCCCCCAACGCCTCGAGGAGCTGCCGGGGCCCAGAGGAAGTTCCAGGGCGGAGCCTGTGGCTTTGGAAACTGTTACACACAGAAAGCAGCAGTGCAGGAAGCTCAGCCATTCCATAAAACACCACTCATATCAAAAAGCCTGTTTTATTAGCCTTTTAGGGTGGAGGGCGAATTGACAACTGTATCATCCAACGTGGCGAAGTGTGTGAATTATATTCCATCCAGGCTCTCAGGTTCTCACACACACACACACACACACACACACACACACACACACGGTGGTAAAACACTGTATCTGCTCTCTCAGTGAGTCGACAGGACGCTAAATCGGGGCTCTGGGATCAGACACTTCTCTCCAAACAGACCACACAGCTCGTTTTCTGAGAGGAGCTGTTGTCTCTTTTCAGGGCCGCGTTTGTTCCCTTACATTATGTGGAGGTTCTTTAAACGTTTTAAAAGGTTCTTCTCATACTTACAGAATGTTTTTTTAAAAGAACCAGCCATTGAAAGGCTCTATACAGAACCAAAGTGGTTCCTCTATGGCATTCCAAAGAACCTTTTGAGCAATAAGCGTAGTGGAAGCTTACAAGATGCATGAAACCCATTCTAATGACTCAAAGCTCATTAGATGTGTTGTTTAATGGTCTTGGCACATCCCAAGACACCCAACGAAACGTCTCGCATGTTAGATGGAATTTTTCCGCCCAAGTTTGACGACGTGCTCCTCGACGATGACTGATAGGATGACCGAGCTCTCTGATGCACATATGTAAACATGGCGAACAGAAAGAGGGACGCTGCTGTTGCTGCTGTCAAAAATACCCGTCTTTTTGATATTTCCTCATAGAAGAACCACAGCAGAGTCCAAAACCTGGTAGCTATATTTGTGTAACGTTCTTGATATGTTCTTGATATACATATCTCTTTGAAGGACAGACAGCCCATACGGTCGTCTCCCAGTGTGTCCTAATTCAGGGGGTGGATCCTCGAAGGACACGGTCTACGAAGGTGTGTCCTTTGAAGGCTGCTTAGACCCGCGAAGGCTGAACCGAAATGAGACGGTCTGCTCTCCCGCCCTGACCGCTGTGCCACAAAACATCATTCTTGTCAAGTTGTTTTAATGTTCTTTAAAGATGGAGCCCGCCGTTTGCTCCTCTGTTGATGCCACCATGTTCTCGAATCCTTGCCGGCACACAATGAACCTCGGGATATGTTGGCTGGTGAAGGATCCACCCGTCGCCATGGAAAAGAAGGACAAATTTCTCGGCCGCGTATGAAGGGGCCTTCGAAATGAGACAGTCTAGTCGCGCCGCTGTGATGCAATCGGCCTTCACATGCAGCCTCCGAAGGATGCAGACACTGAACTGAGACACACAGGAACGGCTCCACGATCGTTTTTTCTTTTTTTTTTCAGAACACTAAACCGCCAGCGCCACACACAGCGCTTCTGACTGACAGTTTCATGAACTTCCTCTTCGACAACCTAAGAACTTGCACAAGAACGTGAACAATGACTGGTCAGCGTCAAGCTTGTAGTGCTGCTAATCTCCCGACCAAAACATGGCAAGATTTCATGGCACGATCATTGCCTAATCTGACAGAGTGACCACTGTGAAAGAGACAAATTGGTAGTCTGATTCTGGCATTAAGGAACCCAAAGGTGCTCTTCTGTGGTATAAAAAAACCTTCTGAGCAGCAAGTGTAGTGAAATAACAACAGCTTACAAGATCTACTGATTACAAGATCAACTCTAACGATGCAATCAAAGCTGAAAGAATCACTAGAGAGGCACTGTAAGAAGCAGAGCTGCCACAAACATGCGATACATTTATCATTATACAATCATTTCAAATCATTTATTACCAAGAATACATTAAGGAGGCTGGCTATCTGCTCAGAGCTGTAGGAAAATAATTCAGACTGCACAGGGTGTCACAGCCAACATGGCTGGATAAGCGGGCGCTCCAGGATACAGCAGCCTTCAGCTTCAGAACCTTGACCACTCCCCTGGTCACATACAGTTGAAGTTTATTTTTTAAGTCAATGGTTAAAAAGATGCAGTTTCCTCTGTTTCATTAATCTATTAAAGTGAAACATTTCTTGAGCTTTTGTTATTCTTATATTCCAATACTCAAGACAATATTTGACAGAACATTCGAAAATGAAAATATTTGAAAGTTGCAGGCCTAGAAAGGAGAGAGGAGTCGGGAGAGAAGGTGGTGAAGAAAGAAGGTAAAGAAACACCAAACTAGTGCTGCCCAAGTTGAACTAGATTAACTGAAAACAATGCAAAAAACCTTAAGATTAAAGTCATGATGGAAACTTGGCTTCAGACGGTTTTTGATGCGAAGGAAAAATAACAGTCGGGTTATCACTTCA